GTGGAACAACAAGTTGATGTTGCTCTCTTTCTCCCTCTCCCTCTCTCCCTCCCTCCCCTCTTCCTTTCTCTCTCAAATCAATTTAAAAAAATACTGTATGCAGTTTTGCCGTCAGACCTGAATCTGCAGTACAGGGTTATGTGCCTCCAAACACATATAGTCAGTCTTCCATATCTGCAGGTTTTGTTTTGTTCCACAGATTTGACCAACCACAGATAAAAACTATTCAGGAGGGGAAATCCCAGAAAGTTTCAAAAAGCAAAACTTGAATTTGCTGCATGCCAAGCACTATGCTGAATCCACGCAATTGAAGGGATGTGTAAGGTGCCCTGCTCTAGGTGCTATGCTGTAGCCTGTACGCATGTATAGGTTCTGTGCAAATACTACACCATTTTATATAAGGGACTTGGGCATCTAACCATTTGGGTGTCCCTGGGGGTCATGCAAATGTAGGTTATTATGTGCAAGTATGCTATCTATATATATAAAAGGCAAATATGCTAAGTGTCCCTCCGATAGTCCGGCCAGTCGCTATGATGCGCACTGACCACTGGGGTCAGACGCTCAATGCAGGAGCTGCTGTGACATGCACTGGTCATTTACAAAGAAATGGCACTGTGGACCTGGCGCTGACAAAGCAACACTCAGCTTCCCCCAAGTGGGACACAGGCCTTGCCACCACCCTGGAGCAACAGCCCACCAAATCGCAGCCAACGCTGCTGAGACCCCATGGTGCAAAATGCGGCCCACAGCCCAGCCCAGCCCGGAAGTGGTCGCTGTGGGCGCCAGGTAATGATGTCACGTAGCAATGCCTGGCTTCCTCTCCCTAGAGACTAGCCTCCTTGCAGTTTCTTCAGCCCAGGAACATGACTTGCTTTATACTTTAAACATTTTACACTTTAACCAAATGTCTGTGAAGCATTTTCCCATGCCTCATCTCATTTGATCCTCACAGAAGTCCTGGAATAGGTAGATATGAGACTCGGTGGAATACTATTTTCTTTTCATTAGCCGGAAAATGGAGATTTAGAAAGTTTAGAAACTTGACCTGACTGAAAAGAAGTAAGAAATGGTGGACCTTGAAAATGACTCCAGGTTTTTTCACTGCTCAGAATATAGTCAAACACTGCTGCAGTTAAATATTTTACCCTTTGTTCTCCCTGCGTGATCTACAATGATAATCTGCTTTGTGTTGATATTTACTGCTATGTTGCTGACAGTTACCTGAAAGAGAAGTTGAGGTGCTTCACTGGGCTGGAAAAAGTTTAGCTAAATCAGAAAGCAGGTCTAATTAAGCAAGTTTATCCTATATATAAAAGACTAAGTTGACTCGCCCATGCACGATACATATAAAGCTCTCTGCACCAATCGCACGCTTGTGTTTTGATCTGTCATTGTCGATTGTGAATTTGGTTGACACTTCTATTGTAGAGAAAGGGCGAATAGCGATATTAAAATATTTCTTCTAATTAGTTTCCTTTCAATGTGCACGAGTCCATGCACTGGGACACTAGTTTTCTTTAAGGGACTTGAGCATCTCATGATTTGGGTGTCCTTGGGGGTTCAGGACCCACTGCCCTGCAGATATCTAGGTACAACTGCATATTTTACTACAGGCGATTTAAGGGGTTGTCAGTGGAAATTTTGGTTATTCAAGATTTTAACTTTAGGTTTAATTTTTTTTTATTGTCTAAAGTTTTACATAAGTCTCCTTTTCCCCCAATTGACTGCCCCCTCAGGTTTAATTTTAACATTAGAACCTCTAACGAAAGGTGGTGTTCACTTGCCATTCAGTTTTTATAGCTTTTTTAAATTTTTTATGTTTTTTATAAACATCAGATTTTTATTTCTTACAGTTCTGGAGGCTGGAAGTCCAAGATCAAGGTGCCAGCAGATTTGGTGTCTGGCGGAAAAAGCTATAGCTTTTATTAATGCCGTTAGCCTTGGTTGGAATTTTAGGATCTCGATAACGAACCCAAACCTTAGACTGTTTGGTCACCTCATGCGGACATGTTAGCATGAGGTAGGCCTGGGCCCAGCCTCTCTCCTTGTGGTTCCTGAACGTTTCTGCACAGCTTTGGGGAAGCCGGTGGGGGTAGAGGGGCACACAATACACCTCCTCACTGTAGCCAACAGTTGTGCAAGCTGCTTCCTGCTGACTGCAGGACCCTTCTGGAAAGTTCTAGGTTGTGAATCGTGTCCTGCAGGCAGAGCTTCATGCCAGCCTGGCCCAGCCCGAGTGCCCCCTTTCCTGCCCACGTCCTGCCCTGTTTGTGCCTCTGTCTGCGCCCTTGTGCGGGCAGGCAGGTCGCCTCCTCCAGGGAGCTTGCCCTGAGGAAGTCAGTGGGCTTCTGTCAGTCTGGCTTCCTGACCTGTCATGGAGGTGAGGGGCCAGGTCAGGCCCAGCGTGGGCTCAACCTGTGGGAGGTGTTGTCAGTAGAAAAATACCATGAGAGAGGAGTGGTGTGAGTGCTGAACCAAATCGGGATTCCCATGCCTTAGTGTCTGCGTGACCCTTTCCACCCCTCCTCTGCACCCCCAGTGGCCATTCTGGTGCATTCTGCCTCCTTTCTTACCTGAGCCTTCCAGCTTGGCCTCTCTCCTCTCCAACTCGGCCTCTGTCCGGGACCTCTATCTGATCACGTGCTCCCTTCTGGCTCGGCCCTACCCCTGCCTCTCTGTTGCCCAGGCGGCTAGGTTTATTTCCCGTCCTCTGAAGTGTCCTCTGAAGCCGTCCTCGTTTCCCTTGATGTGTGTGTGGGAGACACATCCACTTTTGCTGTGTTTCACTGTCACATGCAGCTGTGTGATACTCCTTTGCATGTATAAGCCATAGTTTTGCTTGCAAATAATGCCTGTGAATATGCCAGGCAGGAACATTGGTGTCCGTGTCCTCAAGCACATGTGAGGGTCTCTCTAGCTTACTGGTTCTCATTGAGGGCAACTCCCCCTGGAGACACTGGGCCTTGTCTGGGGACATTGTGGCTATCAGGACTGGGGGTGCTCAGGCATTAGGTGTGGGTAGAGGCCAGGGATGCTGCTCAATGCTCAGAAGTGCCCAGGATGGCCCCTCCCCACAGAATGACCAGGCGAATGAGGGATGCCTGCCTAACCCTGGAGGTGCTGGGCCCTAGGTGCGAATGTCTTGTTTATCCTTTTTAAGGCCATTTGGCTTGCCCTCTGCTGGTTTCCCTGTCACAGTTACACTGGGGGCATTTGTCCTTTTATTTTTAAATTAATAAACTTTATTTCTGAGAGCAATCTTAGCTTCTCAGCAAAATGATGAGGCAGGTTCAGAGATTTCCTGTGTACTCACACACCTACTGTCAGCATCGGGCACCAGATGGTGCATTTGTTATAAGCCATGTACCTAGATTGGCATGTCATAGTCACCCAGAGTCCTCAGGCTCCCTTAGGGTTCACTCTTGGTGTCATAAGTTCCATGGGGTTGGAAACTACACAGAGTAGTTTCACTGCCTTAAAAATACTCTGTGCTATACCTATTTATCCTCCCTCCACTTTCTGGCAGCCACTGATCCTTTCACTGTCTCCATAGTTTTGCCCTTTCCAGAATTTCAAATACAGATGCCCTTTGACTTGTGATGGGTTATTATATCCTGAGAAGTTGAAATATTGTAAGTAGAGAAACCAAGATGGCGGCATAGGTAAACACCGGAAACTGCTGCCTCGCACAACTACTTCAAAAATACAACTAAAAGACAGAACGAAGTATTGTAAGTAAAAAACATATTTAGCCCTGGCCAGTTGCTCAGTGGTTGGCGCGTTGGCCTGAGGACCTAAGAGTCACGAGTTCGATTCCTGGTCAAGGGCACTTGACTTGGTTGTAGGATGACCTTGGACCCTGAAACTTGCCTCCGCTGTGACCCCCGATGCTGTTTGCATGTTAATTGCAACCAGCCCTTTGAATCATCAGCTTTTGGTAAAAATTTGGAAGGAGGAAAGTGTATGTTTTCCTCTCTTTTCCCTTTTCTTTAGGGCACCGCTTCTGAACCAGGTTGTTCTGCCCCAAGGGGACGGTGGAAGTTTGGAGACATCTGTGGTTGGCATGACTGGGGGAGCTCCTGGCATTGTGGGTGGGGGCCAGGTGTGCTGACGATCCAGCCCAGTGTCACACAGACCGGCCTTAGGGGCATCTGGATAGAACAAGGTGCCCTTGCAGGTCCTTGTTGCGTGTTGGCGGAGTGCTGCGGGATAGTTTCTAATAAAAGGTAACTCCTTGGCCTTTTGTGCCATCGGGATGCCACTCAGAAGACAAAACTCCTTCACACCCAGGGGTGTAGATTGCTGAGCTGTGCTGGCCACAGTGTCCTGTTAGCAGGTGTCTAGTGTGGGTGGAATTAGCATCGAGGAGTTAATAGGGGTGGAGGTAATGGGTCTGAGAAGTTGCCCTGTGTGGGTAAGACCTGAGCTAGAGCTTTACAGAGGAGACTTGTGGATGTTGGGGTGTATGTCTCCTTGGGCTCACATAGGCTGGGTCTCCTTCCTGGCCACTGCTGACATTGGGGCCAGGTCATTGTCTGTGGAGGGCCATCCTGGGTACTGTGGAAGGTTTTGCAGTATTTCTGGCCCGATGCACTCCATCGTGACAACCATAGATGTCCCCAAACATTGTGTGCCAGTGGCACCTGTATGCTGGATTGCCCTCAACTGAGAATGACAATGTGTGTTTATTGTAACAAAAGTTGCAAAGCACGTTAACACATGAAGTACTAAGGAAACTTCCCCTGACATCTGATGTGTATCCACAGCACAGCAGGATTGTGCTGATGGGGACACTTACCTAATGACACCAGGAGTCCTCATTTGAGAGAGTCTGGGGAAGGGGTATCAGTGTGCATGCCTAGGAGGGAACAGGTTTTATTGTCCCATAATCTGAGGGCAGATCCCCTCCTTAGCTCACAGCATGTGCCTGTGCCTGGCACCCAGAAGACACACTAAATATAGGCAGGTAAGTGATCTCTGTCTTGGTTTCTCTGCAGATGGAGGATGGCCACACCCTCTTTGACTATGATGTTCGCCTGAATGACACGATCCAGCTCCTGGTTCGGCAGAACCTCATGCCTCCTCCCCCCAGTAGCAGCAGCAGCAACAACCAGGAGAGAGACTCTGAGCTTTCTGACACCGATTCTGGCTACTGCCTGGGCCAGAGCGAGTCGGACAAGTCCTCGACTAGCGGTGAGGTGGCTGCGGAGGCGGACAGGAATGCAGGCTTAGCAGATGAGGCAGTGTGTGATGAGACGGAGCTGGGCCTGTACAAGGTGAGGCTCCTGCAGAAGGTTTGGGGTCTGGCCGATCTCTGCACCCCTGAGGATCATTCCTCATGCTCCACTGACTTTGGCTTCCCCACCACCCAGCCATGGGCTCATGAGGGCGGGCCAACTTCCCTCCATCCCTGTGGCTGGGCCCCACAGTCCTGCCATGAAAACCTGAAGTTTCTTTGGCAGAAGCATGTGCTACTCCAGATTTCTTTCTGATCCCTGAAACAGAATTCCGGGTCTGGCCTACAGGTGTCTGCTCTGGCCTCTGTAGTGGCTGTAAAATCTCTGAATTCTCTGCCGCCCTCTAAGATCATGACATTTCATATACTGATCTGGATTCTCAGCTTTTCTTGAGAAATGAGTTCTGGCTCCCTAGGCTGATTCTGCTTTCAGGGCCATTGGCAAAATCTTGGGGCATCTCTGGATGTCATGACTGGGGATACCGCTGACATCCAGTTTCCCCAGTCGTGGGGGAGAGATTCTCAACACCCCACAATGGCCAGGATAGGACGGCCCCTCACAGTGGGACCCCAGTGACCACAGTGCTGCACTTGAGAAACCCGAGTCCAGGCTTTTGGATTTGCGTCCCAGGCCTGAAGCAGCCAGTGCCAAGGATCAAAACAGGCCCTGAGATGGGATGAGCGAGTGTTGCTGATCAGATTTCCTTCCCTGGGTTGGATAAGAGAGTTTCCCTTTACTTTGCAGGCCAATGAGTACGTTGATGCTCGGGACACGGATGTGGGAAGTTGGTTTGAGGCGAAGGTTGTCAGGGTGACAAAGAAGCCACCATCCCAGGACACGCCGAGTAGCTCCACCTCATCCCAGGACACGCCTTCTAGTTCCGCCTCATCTCAGGACACGCCTTGTAGCTCCACCCCGTCCCAGGACACGCCTTGTAGCTCCGCCTCATCCAAGGACACGCCTTGTAGCTCCGCCTCATCCCAGGAAGCACCCTGTAGCTCCACCTCGTCCCAGGACGCACCCTGTAGCTCCACCTCCACGTTGGAAGAAGACGATGACGTCATTTATCACGTGACATATGATGAGTGAGTGTCATTCCAGGGAGGTGGTGGGCTTGAACTGTTGGTCCTGTGTATATAGAACCTGGAGTTTGGTACAGCCTTGGGGATGATGGTCAGGATTCGAGGCTCCCACCCTCATGCTCCCAAGCAACACAGGAGGCCACACCTAGAGGACTAGTGTCACAGGGACCCAAAGCTAGCCGACCCCTCCTCAGGTCTCCTAGGAGAACTCTGCTCTGACTTTCCAGTCAGACCCCCCTTCCCCATTTCCTGTTCTATTTTATTCATACCTCGTATCATTGTACCACATGAAACCATCTTACGTGTTTGTCCTCTCCCTCACCGGAACGGGTATTTATTGAGCACTTCCTGTGTGTCAGGCCCTGTGCTGGCCACAGGGAATTCTTGTCTGTTAACCCAGAGGGTGTCTCAGTAGGCTTGGGCCCCATAAAAACATACCACATGCTGGGCGGCTTAAACAGCAGACATTTATTTTCTCACAGTTTTGGAGGTGGGAAGTCCAAGGTCAGAGTTTTGGTAGGGTTGCTTCCTTCTTGGCTGTCTTCTCACTGTGTTCTCACGTGGAAAGAGAGAGAGCTCTGGTGTCTCCTTCTCTTACAAGGACACCAACCCCATCAGATTAGGGACCCAACGGTATGACCTCATTTAACCTCAGGGATCTCCCGAAAGCCCCATCTCCAAATGATAGTCACATTGCGGGGAGGGATACAATTCAGTCCACAACAGGGCAAGCGAGCCTGCCTATAGGAAGCTCACATTCCAAAGGGCACAAGAGCTTCCTTTGGTTCTCTGCTGGGTCCCTACTGCCTATCCCAGTTTCTGGCACATACTAAGCTTTATTAGCTCCATAAAAATTATTGAAGTAATTGAATAATGAATCACAGTAGACACAAGATTCCCATCTACTTAGGTTAGAGGATGCAAACCAAGCCTGAGGGCCAAATCTAGCCCACCCCTTGTATTTGTAAATGAAGCTGTATTGAAACACATCAACGCCCATTTGTGTTTGCCTATTGCCTGTGAATGCTTTCTTAGTGATAGCAGCACAATTGAATATTCATGATAGAGACCTTCTAGCTCACAAAGCCAAAAATACAGTAAACCCTCGATTTAATGGACTTCAGATTTAACAGACAAAATTTCTAGTCTGTAAGTCATATGTGAACATTAACACCCTGATGCCCAGCTGGTGTGGCTCAGTGGTTGAGTGTCGGCCATGAACCAGGAGGTCATGGTTTGATTTCCCATTCAAGCCACATGCCTGGGTTGCAGGCTTGATCCCCAGCGGGGGGCAAGCAGGAGACAGCAGATCAAAGATTCTCTCTCATCATTGATGTTTCTATCTCTCCCACTCCCTTCCTCTCTGAAATCAATAAAAATATATTTAAAAAAAAAACACAAAAGAATTATTTGGAGATGTTTAAATGAAGCATCTCCAGAGTACGAATTTAAAAAAAATTTAACACCCTGTTAATTTTGAAATGCTTTTAACCAAGTGTTGTTTATAATTAAATTACAGGTTATTTTTGTTATTAATTCACTTATTTTAAACAAATTTTAGTGATTAAGAAATGTAGCAAAAAACACTAGTAATTTTGCCAATATAAATAATGTATATCTATAGCTATAGTCTACATATTTAAATCCAAGTGTCACCACTTCTAAACAATGTTCGGCAAATGATTAGCACATGATCACACTGCATGGCACTTGGTGTTAGTGGTGTTGTCGAGTGGTGTGACTTTCTACAGCAGTTTTCACGCGTGCTGGCTGATGTGCTAAGCTACACCACCTCACACGTGTGCATTTGTTTACTCAAGGTGACTAATGAATGCACACATTTACTAGATCAATTCAGTATAAATTTAAAATCACAGTAATACTTATAGAAAACTTTTCTGTGAAATTAAATTTTTCATACATACTTAATTTTAATTACACAAATATGTCTGCATAAGTAAAAATAGGTAAACTAATTTGTCAATTTTTTAACATACATATTCAGAAAACACTCTATTATATAACGGGCTTTCAGCTTTAATGGACACCCCCTCGCTCAGATTAGTCTGTTATATCGAGGTTTTACTGTATTTACTATCTGGCCCTTTACAGGAAAAGTTTGGCAACCCTTGCCTTTGGTGGTTTACTAGTGAAAATAATGAGCGCCAGGCAATATAGCTACTCATAATAGATTTGGAGTTGTCCCCTCACAGGGGAGGTTTAACTTTGTTTCAGATAGAATTTGTTTCTTTCAGGCCAGTTATTTTATGCCTTTTAGAGGCTGCTGGAATATTTCTGTATATCCAGCATAATGACTTCCTATTGTATCCCAATAGCCAATGCATTATATTTATATAAATGGGTTAATGCATGTCCCTCTGCAAAAATCATTTTCAGAATGCCGAAAAAGTTAGTTTACAGTTCCGGAGGCCAAATCAAGGTGTCAGCCAGGCCATGATTTTCCCGAAACCTGTAGGAGAGAATCCTTCCTCGCCTCTTCCAGCTTCTGATGGTGGCCGGCAATCCTCGGCTTGTGACTATATTATTCTAGTCTCTGTCTCCCCCTTCATGTGTCATTCTCTGTGTCTGACTTGTTCCGTCTTATAAGGACACCAGTTATAATGGATTAAGGCAGTGTGACTTCATCTTAACTTGATTACATCTGCAAAGACCCTATTTCCAAATTAGGTGCCATTCCCAAGTGCCAAGGGTTAGACCTCCAGCATATCTTTTTGGGGGACACAAGGTCAACCCATAGCACCTCTGTAATTGAAACCTGTCTTCTGCACCTGTGTATTTTCGACACCTGCAGAGGGGAATTTACTTGCTTCTGCGATGAGATAACTCACACCTCTGTTGTGTGTGGCCTTCTCCTTGCTTCTCTCTTCTTGGAGGGAAAATGGTGTGGTGTTGCCTTGGGATCTGAGTGTGGGGTTTTCCTCCCAGTTACCCGGAATACGGTGTGGTCCAGATGAGTTCACAGAACGTCCGGGCCCGAGCCCGAGAAATCATCAGATGGCAGGAGCTGAAGGAGGGCCAGGAGGTCATGCTCAACTACAACCCCGACAGCCCGAAGGAACGGGGCTTCTGGTACGATGCAGTGATCACGCGGAAGAACCAGACCCGGACATCGCGGGAGCTGTATGCTAACGTCAGGCTCGGGTGAGTGGCTATCCAGCCAGCACGCTGTGGGCAAGGCCCTCAGCCTCCACCTGTCCTCCCCTCTGGGGCTCCGCTCCACTTCCTGCTGGTCTACTGGTGATCTTTCTGAGACTGACCCTTCGTGCCCCTGCTCGGGAACTATCTCTGAGCCTCAGGTGGAAATGTTGGCCTTCCTTGTTCTCTTTTATTTGTTGTTTTAGATTTGGCAAATAGGTAAGAACATAAAATGCATCCAAGTCAGAAGGTACTGCCCTGGTTGGTGTTTCTCAGAGGTTAGAGCGTCAGCCTGTGCACCAAAGGGTCTCGGATTTGATTCCCTGTCAAGGGCACATACCTGGATTGCGGGTTTGCTCCTCACCCCCTGTCAGGGCGCATGTGGGATGGTCTCTCATATCGATGTTTCTATCTTCTTTCCTCCACCCCTCCCTCCCTTCCACTCTCTGGAAAGCAATGGAAAAAAATATCCTCAGGGAGGATTACAAAAAACAACACCTTTCTGGAGATAATGACTGTTCCCGTGAACTTCCAGGGACATTCTGTGCACAAACAAGCATAAACATATACAAACACACCAACCCACATAATGGTGTGCCCCATATCCAGGGTCAGCAAACTGCAGGCCAGAGCTGGCCCTTTGCCTGTTTGGGCAAATAAAGTTTTATTGGCACACAGCCACACCCATCTGTTTGCTGATTATCTGTGGCTCCTTTTGTGTTGGAAGTGCACATTTGAGTAGTTGGGAAAGAGACTGAAAACATGTACTGTTTGATTTTTTGAAGAAAATATTTGCCAGGCTCTGTTCTACTTTGCGTTTCTGTATGTGTGTGTTAAAACAATATATAATAGAAAACTTACTATCCTAATCATTTTTTAAAATAAGTTTTTATTGATTTTAAGCGGGGGGAGGAGAGAGAAACATCCATGTGATAGGATGCCTCCTGCATGCCCCTTCCGGGGATGGAGCCTGAAACCGGGCATGTGCCCTGATCGGGAATTGAACCAGCGACCTTTTGGTGCTCAACCAGTTGAACCACACCGGTGTTTTTTTTTGTGTTAATCTTTACCTGAGGTTATTTTTTCCTTTTTTATTTTTTTTTTAGAGTGAAAGGGACGGGGAGAGACAGAGGCACACATCAGTGTGAGAGAGACACGTCAATTGGTTGCCTTCCGCATGAGCTCTGGCCAGGCAGGAGTGAAGGGGTGGGAATGGGGATTGAGCCCACAGCCAAGGTATATGCCTTTGACTGGAAACGAACCTGCGACCCTTCAGTCTGTGGGCCGACGCTCTAACCATTGAGCAACCAGCCAGGGCCATCCTAACCATTTTTAAGTGTACAGTTTAGGGACATTAAGAACATTCACATTGTTGTGTGACCATCAACACTTGCCCATTTCCAGAACTTTTTCATCATCCCAAACAGAAACTATTTTCATTAAACACTAATTCCCCACCCGCCTCCCCCAGCCTAACACCCACCATCTTCTTTCTGTCCTTCCTCCAGGGACCTCATATGAATGGAATCATATAGCATTTGTCTTTTTGCGTCTGTCTGGCTTATTTCACTCAGCATAATGTCTTCAAGTCTTATCCATGTAGTAGTAGCTTGTGTCAGACCTTCCTTTTGGTGACTGGATAATATTTCATTGTATATAGTGACTATAGACACATATCTGGACAACAGTGTCCCAAACACAGATAGGTGCAAAGATTCTGGAGCAGGGCCATTCCTGGTCCATTTGTGGCCTAGTGAGGAGGCCAGTGGGCTTGACTGGAGGGAAGGAGGGATCGAGGAGTAGAGACTGGAGCCCTCCATGTGTTTGGATGTTCAGGGTATGGCCAGGAGTGGTACAAACTGGTGTTTAGTCTCTATTGCTGGCAGTCATCGAGGCATATTGAGCCTGGGAGCCACATGCTTTGACCTACAATTGAGAACCATCACCCTGGCAGCCGAGCAGGGAATGGACTGCAGGGGGCAGCATGGCAGCCAGGACACCAGGGAGGAGGCTTGCAGTGATGTTATAGTGAAAAAATAATCAGCTTTTTGTTTCACTGCTTTTCTCTATTGTTTTCTTGTTTCCAATTTCATTGATTTCCTCTCGTCCTTTTACTTTTCCTTGGATTGATTTTGCTCTTCTTTTTCTAGTGTCTTGAGGTAGCAACTTAGACTAGTGATCTGAGAAATTTCTTTTCTAATATAAGCATTTTAGTGCTAAAAATTCCCCTCTAAGCAGTACCTTAACTGCTTCCCATACATTCTGCTATGTTATATTTTTCTTTTTGTTCAGTTCTCTATTTTAAAAAAATATATACTTTTATTAATTTCAGAGAGGAAGGAAGAGATAGAAACATCAATGATGAGAGGGAATCATTGATCGGCTACCTCCTGCACATCCCCCAACTGGGGATTGAGCCCACAACCTGGGCATGTGCCCTGACTGAGCATCGAACCATGACCTCCTGGTTCAGAGGTCAACCACTGAGCCACGTCCGTTGGGCTCTATTTCTTTTATTTCCTTTGAGACTTCCTCTTTGACTCCTGGCTTACTTAGAAGTAAGGTGTTTAATTGACAAATATTTAGAGATTTTTGCATTGTCTTTCTGTTATCTTTATATATGAAATCCTAAGTGACCATCCCACCGTCTGACTGTCTGACCGGTAGTTATGACGTGCACTGACCACCAGGAAGCAGACGCTCAATGCACAAGCATGGAAACATGGAACAGACTGATGAATCTCAGAAGGGAGGGAGGAGGGTGGGAAGAGATTAACCAAAGGTCTAATATGCATACTAGATTCGTGCCCCAGTGGGGTCCCTCGGCCTGGCCTGTGGGGATTGGACCGAAATCGGCTCTCCGACATCCCCGGAGGGGTCCCGGATTGCAAGAGGGTGCAGGCCAGGCCAAGGGACCCCACCCACCAGTGCACGAGTTCTCTCATTAATTTATAGTTTTATTTTATTATGTCTGAAGAACATACTCTGTGTGATTTCAGTTCTTATAAATTTCTTGAGGTTCTATGTTGGTGAATAATCCATGGTTATTGAAAAAAAAAGTATTTCTGTCATTGGGTAGAATGACCTAATATCAGTTAGATTGTATTGGTTGAATTTGTTCACTTCTTCTAATTCTTTCTGATTTTCTGTCTAGTACTTCGACCGGCCCTCATCAACTGATAGAAGTCCTCAGCTATAATTGTGGATTTGTCTATTTCTCCTTTGAGCTTCATACTTAAGAGACTGTTGTTTGGTGTATACACATTTAGAATAGTTATCTCTTCCTGGTTAGTTGATCTTTTTATCATTATGTAGTGTCCCTCTTTGTCTCTAGTAATTTTCTTTGCTCTGAAGTCTACTTTATCTAAGGTATGTGTATGTATTGAATACACTTGCTTTTTAAAAAAAGTTACTGTTTGCATGGTGTATCTTTTTATCCTTTTACTTTCGATCTATGTAGTTGAGTTTGAAGTGATTTTCTTGTAAACAGCATATAATTGGGTACTTTGTTTTGTTAATCCTCACTCAAGGATATTTTTTTCCATTTTATTTTATTTTTTTTAAAGAGAGCCGAAGGGAGGAAAGGATGGGGGGAGAGAGAGACATGAATGTGAGAGAGACACATGCCTCCTGCACGTGTCCTGACCAGGGCCAGGGATCGAACCTATAACACAGGTACATGTTCTTGACTGGGAATTGAACTCATGACCCTTGGATTCGAGGGCCGATGCTCTAACGCAGGGGTCCTCAAACTTTTTAACGGGGCCAGTTCACTGTCCCTCAGACCGTTGGAGGGCTGGACTATAGTTTAAAAAAAAACTAGTTGGCTGCTAAGCAACAGGCAGCGGCGGCAAAAACACCCGGCGGGCCGGATAAATGTTTTTGGCGGGCCGCATGTGGCCCACAGGCCGTAGTTTGAGGATCCCTGCTCTAACGACTTAGCAACACCAGCCATGGCTAATTGGGTTACTTTTTAATCCAATTTGCCAGTCTTTACCTTTTATTTTTTAAAAAATATGTTTTTATTGATTTCAGAGAGGAAGGGAGAAGGAGAGATAGAAACATCAATGATGACAGAATCATTGATGGGCTGCCTCCTGCACGGCCCACACTGGGGATCAAGCCTGCAACCTGGGCATGTGCCCTTGACCAGAATCGAACCCGGGACCCTTCAGTCCGCAGGCCAACACTCTATCCACTGAGCCACGGCAGCCAGGGCAGTCTTTGCCTTTTAATTGGGATTTTTAGACCATTTACATTTAAGGAAATTATTGATATGTTAGGGGTTAAGTCTGTCAATTTATTACTTGTTTTCTTTCTTTTTTTCTGTTTCTTGTTTCTCTTTTTCTGTCCTTAGATATTTTTTTGGGATTCTTCATTGATTTATTTTAGTCTTTGGAGTATGTTGCTTTGTACATAGTTTTCTTAGTGGTTTTTCTGAATTTTACCATATAAACATGTGACATCTTGGTGTGTCTCACCCCCCTTGGACCCCCTCCCCCAACACCTCTTGCTCCCCCAGACTGGTGTCAATTTTGTCATTTGAGTGAAGCATGAAAATCTTTCTTCCTTTTAGGTCCCTTTATCATCACTTATTATCTTGTGTATTGGATGGTGTTATGATTTTTTTATTTATATATTTTTAATTTTTTGGTGTTATGATTTTAAAAAATATATATTTTCATTGATTTCAGAGAGGAAAGGAAAGGGAGGGAGGGAGAGAGAAACATCAATGATGAGAGAGAATCATCGATTGGTTGCCTCCTGTATGCCCCCTACCAGGGATTGAGCCCACAACCTGGACATGTGCCCTGACCAGTTATCGAACCATGACCTCCTGGTTTACAGGTTGATGCTCAACCAATGAACCACTCTGGTTAGGCATGATTTTTAGTTTAGTCACCACATATGATTTTGGAAAATCCTGAGGAGGATAATCTATTGTATGTACCCAGAGTTCTGCTGTTTTTATTCTTTTTTTTCTTCCTTTTTGCTCTAAGATTCTTTTCCTTATAACTTACAATTTGAAGAACTCCCTTTAATTTTTCTGTGAGAGTGGGTCTATTAGCGAGTTGTTTTGATTTTCCTTTATCTGAAAAGGCTACCACCCCATCGCATTGGCATAACTCCCTCGAATCCAATCATTTCATCTGTAAATATTTTAGAATGTAGTTCTTAAAAATTATTCTTGAAGAAATCCAGTTATAAAGCTATTATTACAACCTAAAATTGCTCTTGAAGAAATCTAGCTATAATGCTATTGTTACAACCTAATAATAATTTTTGAGTAACACAGATCTATTGTTCAACCTTCCAATTATCTTAATTTTTTAAAATATATTTTTATTGATTTCAGAGAGGAAGGGAGGGGGAGAGAGAAGTAGAAACATCAATGATGAGAGAGAATCATTGATTGGCTGCCTCCTGCATGCCCTCTACTGGGGACCGAGCCCGCAACCCTGGCATGTGCCCTTAACTGGAATTGAACCCAGGACCCTTCAGTCCGCAGGCTGACACTCAGTCCACTGAGCCAAACCGGCTAGGGCTCACTTGTTTGTTTGTTTTTTAACCGTTTCTTTGATTAGAATCTAACTAATGTGTACAGATTTCAGTTAGATCGATATGTATGTTTTAAATCTTTTATCTTTAGGCTTTCTGTCTTCCCCTTTTTTCCACTTTTCCTTCACAATTTATTTGAGGAAACCTGGTGGTCTGTCCCAGAGAACTTCTGCAGCCTGGATGTTGTCATTTCCTGTGAACTGGCAGGTAGATCTGGGCCTGTCCTGTCTGGTTCCAGCCATGGGCACGAGCTGCCGAGCACTTGGAGTGCGGCCCGTGCACACGGAGATGTGCCCTGAGTATGCAGCACTGGCTGTATTTTGAAAAAAGCTATTAATCTGTACTTTCTGTTGAATTTGGCTGTGAACCAAATACTGCTCTAAAAAATAAAGTCTACTATATAAAAAAAGGCTATTAATAATTCTTTACTATTCATTACATACTGAAATAATCTTTTGTGTATATTGGGTTACATAAAACATATTCACATGAATTTCATCTGTTCTTAACTTTTTGAACGTAGTTCTTAGGAAATGTGGAATTACCCATGTGGCACCTGTTCGTGGCTTGTGGTCATTTCTGTGGGACATTGTGGATGTACAGTGGAACCTTGGTTCTTGATCTTAATTGGTTCTGGAAGGCTATTTGAGAAGCAATTTGTTCGAAAACCGAATCTTTTTTCCCCATTAAAAATAATGTAAATGGAATGAATCCATTCCAGACCCCCAAATGCTTCTGTTTTAACCTTTCTTATATACTGCACTGTTTCATCTATAAAGACTTAAATTTATCAAAGCACCCCCCACTAGCCTTAAACGAATTTTTAATATATTGCTGCCTCTGAAATGCAATCACTGGTTAACTGCTTATCAGTTATCCAATCAACAACAGTTTTTCTACCTATGCAGTTGCCTGTGATTGTTGTTTTGTGAGCACTTTCACACCCTTAGCAACATTAGCACTCTTGCTGGTTTCTTTGTTTTAAAATTGTGCTAATCATTGATTTCACCAGCAACAAAAGCATTTTCTCCTTTGTTCCCTGAGAGATGCTTTTTGTCATGCTGAGGAATCAACACAAAAGGGTTGTCAGATTGAAAACTGAAGTTTTGGTCCAGACAGCCACATCCGAGAAACAGGTTTGACTGTCTATGGCAGTGGTTCTCAACCTTCTGGCCCTTTAAATACAGTTCCTCATGTTGTGACCCAACCATAAAATTATTTTTGTTGCTACTTCATAACTGTAATGTTGCTACTGTTATGAATCGTAATGTAAATATCTGATACGCAGGATGGTCTTAGGTAACCCCTGTGAAAGGGTCGTTCGACCACCAAAGGGGTCGAGACCCACAGGTTGAGAGCCGCTGGTCTATGGGGTCATTTTAACTTAGAGGAGCTTTTGTATTTTGATGACAGCAAATTGATCAGACTTTACCTTGGTGATTCTTGCATGATGGGCCCTATTCAGTCGGCCTCCCCTTGCCCGAAGGTTAGAACTTACTCTCACTGCATCACGTAGTGAAACTGTTTTATACTCTGCTTTCTTTTATCTTGTGTTTGATTTAGTAGGACTTGAATTGGCAATGCAGTAGCTACATGAATGCACTAGGGCCCTGAGGAGACTCTTACGCAGTGTCATTAGAGAGGTGCTCATATGCTCTGAGAATGTGCTGGGTGGCCAGGTCCTCTTGGAGGTGCCTTAGCAGGGCTGGCCAGCTGGAATGGTCTAACGGCTTCTCTCTCACAGGAGTAGTTCTCTCAGCAACTGTCGGATCATGTTCGTGGATGAAGTTTTCAAGATTGAGCGTCCGGGCGAGGGGGCCCCCATGGTTGAAAACCCAGTGAAAAGTGAGTTCTGATCCTGCCCTCTGTCTCCCGCCTTGGGGATGGGGTGGGCCTCCTGTTTCTCTGGCTGGCCCTGCCAAGCTGACCCCAGCCACTGTGTCCAGGGAAGAACAAGCCCTTCTGCGATAAATGCAAGGATAACCCCAGCAAGCCCTGCCATGAGTGTTCCTGCAGCCTGTGTGGGAGCAAGCAGGATCCTGACAAGCAGCTCATGTGTGATGATTGCGACCACGCCTTTCACTTGTACTGCCTCAACCCACCTCTCAGCAGTGTTCCCACGGAGACCGAGTGGTGAGTGGATGCCTCGAATGCTCCAGTGGCGGGCTTGGGCCGTGGTGCTCAGCTATCCAGGATAGGGGCCTGGCGGGTGCCAATAAATAACACGAATATTGCCTGTCACCTGGTGAACCCATGAGGGGCAGTGAGAGAAGTGGGGTGTGAAATTCCCAGCAGGAGAAGGACAAGAGTCTGTTCAGTAGAATGTTCTGTGATGATGGCAAGGTTCTCGCTCTGCACTTTCCACGACGGTTGACACTCCACACGCGGCTCCTGACCACTTCAGAGGTGGCACGTATGACCGAGGAACTGGATTTCTTGTTTAATTTTAATGAATTTAAATGTAGAAGATGTCCCATTTCGGACAGCTCAGGAGGTTGGGAGCTGGAAGGAGACAGCTATGTGTGCAGGGCTAGTAGGAGTGGGGCGGGCTAAGGACAGGGGTGATGTCCCTGTTGTCACAGGTTCTGCCCTAAGTGTCGAAATGACGCCAGCGAGGTGGTGTTGGCAGGGGAGAAGCTGAAAGAGAGTAAGAAGAAGTCAAAAATGGCATCGGCCACATCGTCCTCGCAGCGGGACTGGGGCAAGGTGAGGTGGCCCCCTCGCTCTGTACGCCCCGGCAGCTCTGCCCGCCCTCCCGTGCTCGCTCACACTGTCTTCCATCTCTTTCTGGACTGGACAGGGCATGGCGTGCGTGGGGCGCACCAAGGAGTGCACCATCGTTCCATCCAACCACTACGGACCCATCCCAGGGATCCCCGTGGGCACCATGTGGAGGTTCAGAGTCCAGGTATCGTAAACATCCGGAGTTTGGCCTCAGGCACTGATCTTCCAGAAGCCCCTTCGCCGGAGAGGGCCACGCTTCGAGCAGGGGGCATGGCTGGAATTCAAGCCAGCTCCTCCTGTGCTGTGGCCCAGCTTCAGGGGCGAGGTTCTCATAACAGGCGTGATACACTCGGAGGGAAAGTCAGGCCCCTGGCTCTGAAAGCAGCAGCAGGAGGGGGAGGGGGAGCGTTTCTACAGCAGCCAGTCCAGATGGTGCCATTTGTTTCTCGGTTTTCACAGGTCAGTGAGTCGGGGGTCCATCGGCCGCACGTGGCGGGCATCCATGGCCGGAGCAATGATGGGGCGTACTCCCTGGTCCTGTCTGGGGGGTATGAGGACGATGTGGTGAGTGGGGGTTGTTTTCTTTATTTTTTAAACGTAAAATACACATAAGATGTGCCATATTAACACTTTGTAAGTGTACACATCTCAGTGGAATTTAAATACATTCACATTGATGTGTAACCATCACCAGCATTTATCTCTAGAACTTTCTCATCTTCCCAAACTGAAACTCTGTCCCCATTAAACAATAATTTCCAATCCCTCTCTCCCAGCCCCTGGCTCCCACCATCTACGTTCTGTCTCGATGAATCTGACTCCTCGAGGGACTTCCTATGAGTGAAATCACACTGTATTTGTCCTTTTGTGACTGGGTTATTTCATGGAGCATAATGTCCTCAAGGTTTATCCATGTTGAGCATATTGCAGAATTTCCTTCCCTTTTTAAGGCTGAATAATATTCCATTGTCTGAATGGACCATATTGTGTGTCCATCAATGGATACTTGGGTTGCTTCCACCTCTTGGATATTGTGAATAACGCTGCTGTGATATCTCTGAAATGCCCTTTCAATTCTTTTGGGTAGAGACAGACCCAGAAGTGGCATTGCTGGGTCACATTTCATTTTTCGAGGGACTTCCATAGCATTTTCCACAGCAGCTGCCCCATTTTCCATTCCCACCAGCAGTGCACAGGGTTCCAATTTCTCCACATCCTCCTCATCACTGGTTATTTTCTGTTTGACAGTTGACATTCTAGCGGGTGTTGTGGGTTTATTTTTAGTGGAGTCTTTCCTCTGTGGAGGGTTCAGCTTGCCCTTCCCTGTTGCAGGACAATGGGGAGTCTTTCACGTATACTGGTAGCGGTGGTCGAGATCTTTCCGGCAACAAGCGGACTGCAGAACAGTCCTGTGATCAGAAACTCACCAACACCAACAGGTTCGCAGAAACAAGGTTTTCTTATTTTTTCCCCAACTCACTTCTGCTGGGTCCTCTGGCGGCTACCCAGGGAAGGGGGTTGGTTCTGTTTTAGGGTGTCATGTCGAGGAAGTTAGATTCCTTTTAATAGTGTGGTAGAACATGTGGATGCTGAAAATCCACATCTTTCTATCTCTGTCTGTTAAAGACTTGTGAGTCATTCAATGCATTAGAGCAAGCATGTCAAACTCGCGGCCCACGGGCCACATTTGGCCCACAACGAATATTTTTGTGGCCCAGCCAATATAACGGAATGTAAGAAACATTTTAATAAAAATTTCACGTAATACTTTTAGCGAAAAAAAAAAAAATTTCACAACTTAATTTTTACAATATCCTATTGTACATAATTATTAATAACGATCTACAACGTTCGCTAATGACTGATTAAAGGTGTTGCATTCATTTCTCTTACACGCCTTACATGCAGGCGCACCATTTCTCTCCACTAATACTAACAGCGAATATTTTAGCAGCTGATTGCCACGTCATTAGTCTTGGACTGACTTGTTTGGTGTGCGCAACAAGAAATATTTCGGTTTTGGAGAACAAGAGGAATAGGTTTATTTGCATTATGCTTATTAATTTGTGCAGTTATTCAGTGTCTGGTAAGTTAATGTTCAAGCAAAAATATTAATTTTTATTAAAATGTTCTGTTTTATGTTAACGATTACTCATTTATTTCAGCCCTTTGTATTCAGCATATCTCTATTGAAATAAACCTACGTTTCTATGAAAGTTGAGGCTTTTGTTTTTTGCGGCCCACATAAACTTACACTTGTTTATTTGGCCCGTGTTAGCCTTTGAGTTTGACATGCTTGCCTTAGAGTGAATTTTTCCCTGAAGAGGCCAGATAATCTTTTGGCTTTTTGAACTGCATGATCTCTGTTGTAGCCAGTCAACTCTGCCATCATAGCACAAAAGCAGCTGCAGAACTTACATAAATAAACACGCATGGCTGTGTTCCAATAAAACTTGATTTGAAAAAACAATCAGTGGGCTGAAGTTTGCTGACCCCTCATTTGTAGGATAGGGAAAGGTATTTTTTTTGTTGTTGTTAATCCTCATCCGAGAATATTTTTCCTTTTTTTTTTTTTAGAGAGAGAGAGAGAGTGGAAGGGGGAAGAGAGAGAAACATCTGATGTGACAGAGACACATCAATTGTTTGCCTCCTGTATGTGAACGAGTCTGCAACTGAGGTATATGCTCTGACCCGAATCAAACCCGGGACCCTTCAGTCTGTGGGCCGATGCTCTATCTACTGAGCCAAACCAGCCAGGGAGGGAAAGTCTTTGTAAGCATAAAAAGTATCATAAAGCCTTGCCCTGGCTGGTTTGATTCAGGTCAGAGCACATATCTGGGTTGCAGGCCCCATCTCCATTAAGGGGCATGCAAGAGGCAGCTGATGGATGTTTCTCTCTCACATCTCACGTTGTTTTCTCTCGCTCCCTTTCCTTTCCTCTCTCTCTAAAATCAATAAAAAATATTTTTTAAAAAAAGTATCATAAAGCCCAAAGGAAAAGATAGATTTGATGACCTAAATATTAGAAATTGCATTAGTAAAATCCATAAGTAAAATGAAGAGTCAGATGACTCTTTGGGGGAAAATCTGCAACAAACATGACACATGATTGTTATGTAAAGAGCTGTTGCAAATCAACAACAAAAAACTCATAGAAAAATAAGATCATTCACAAAAGAAATGGAAATCTCTAATGACCATAAAAAATTATTCAACTTTAGTAATCAAAGAAATAGAAATTGAAGTGATGGTGAAATACTATTTATTTCCCCTGGGAAATGCCAAGACATAGACTGGTGTTCCCCTATTGGTAGAAATACAAGTGGGTACCTTCTTTCTGAAAGGTGTTGAAAATGATCTTATGATACTAATTCTACTTTGAAAGTGTATGATGAGACATGGGGAGGGGAAAATCTTATAATTAGTAATGTTTATCTTATCAGTATGTAAAATAGCAAAGTATTAGTACCTGAATGTTTTTTGTTTGTTTTTTTTAAAGGGAAGGGTTCGTTGTACATTTGTTTAGTGGAATATTTTTTTAAAAATATATTTTATTGATTTTTTACAGAGAAGAAGGGAGAGGGATAGAGAGTTGGAAACATCGATGAGAGAGATCGATCAGCTGCCTCCTGCACGCCCCCTACTGGGGATGTGCCCGCAACCAAGGTACATGCCCTTGACCGGAATCGAACCTGGGACCCTTCAGTCCGCAGGCCGACGCTCTATCCACTGAGCCAAACCGGTTCGGCTGGAATATTTTAATTTCAGTAGCTGTTAAAAACCATGTTTTCAGAAAAGGTTTAATATGAGGAACTGCCCGTAAGCTAACATTAAGTGGTACTTGCTGCACACAAACTAAGAAACTTGTTTAAAAATTACTGTTTGCGCCCTGGCTGGTTTGGCGCAGTGGATGGAGCATCGGCCTGCGGACCAAAGGGTCCCAGGTTCAATTCTGGTCAAGGGCATGTACCTTGGTTGCAGGCTCCTCCCTGGGCTGGGCCCTGGTCAGGGCCTCCTGCAGGAGGCAACTAATCAATGTGTTTCTCTCACATCGGTGCTTCTCCCTGTCTTTCCCTCTCTTTTCCATTCTCTCTAAAAATCAATGGAAAAATTTCCCCAGGTGAGGATTAACAAAAACAAACAAACAAAAATAAATAAAGGTGATTAAATGTTTAAAAAAAAAATTACTGTTTGCACCTAGAAAACAGTTGCAGAGTTGCAGCTCTTTTTTCTTTCACACCCAATAGAGAGGCCAGAGTGCTGAGCCTGACCTCTGGTTGGCTTGCCCCAGGCCCCTGTGCCCTTGGGCAAGTCAAACTTGCCTGGCCAGCCCTTGTTTGCTGCCTCCTCTTTTTCTTGATGACATCCTCCCCACATGCCGTGCTAGTAGCTCGTGGCTTCAGTGATGTAATACTACGAACCGGGTAGTTTAAAACAACAGAAAGTCTCGCATATTTCTGGAAGCTCAAAGTCAAAATCAAGGTGTCAGAGTCATGCTCCCTCTGAACTTTCTGTGGGAGGGTCCTTGCCTCTTCAGCTGGTGGCTACCAGCAATCCTTGGTCTCTTAGCTTGTGGCGGCATCACTCCAGCCTCTGCCTCCGTCTTTACACGGTGTCGTCCTCTGTGTGTCTGTTTCAATTTCCTGTTCTTCTAGGGCAGCGGTTCTCAACCTGTGGGTCGCAACCCCTTTGGCGGTCGAACGACCCTTTCACAGGGGTCGCCTAAGACCATCCTGCATATCAGATATTTACATTATGATTCATAACAGTAGCAACATTACAGTTATGAAGTAGCAACGAAAATAATTTTATGGTTGTGGTCACAACATGAGGAACTGTATTTAAAGGGCCAGAAGGTTGAGAACCACTGTTCTAGGGACACTAGTCATTGGATTTGGGGTTCCCTCATCCATTCTGACCTCCTCTGAACTTGACTTTATCTGCAAGTACCCTTTTCCCAAAGAAGGTCATATTCATAGATTCCATGGGTTAAGATGCCCTTTCTTTTTGGGGGTATACAATCCAAACGATAGCATGTGACCCCCCACTCCCCCTGCAGGGCACTGGCTCTCAACTGCAGCGCCCCCATCAACGAACGCAAAGGGGCCGAGGCCAAGGACTGGCGCTCAGGGAAGCCGGTCCGGGTGGTGCGCAACGTCAAGGGCCGCAAGCACAGCAAATATGCCCCCACTGAGGGCAACCGGTACGACGGCATCTACAAGGTGAGAGGTCCTCCCTGCGCCCACCGGCGCCACCTCCAGTCCCAGATGGCACTGACATGGGCTCTCACTTCCCACAGGTTGTGAGGTACTGGCCCGAGAAGGGGAAGTCCGGCTTCCTGGTATGGCGCTATCTCCTGCGGAGGGACGACGAGGAACCTGGCCCCTGGACGAAGAAAGGGAAGAACCGGATCAAGCAGCTGGGACTGACCATGCAGGTGCGTGCAGGCCGTGCTCACCTGGCCCAGCAGTCCTGGTTTGAGCATCGTCTTCCTGGTCAGTCCCTGGGGATCATGGCAGGAGAACTGGGCTGTGAGTGCTCAGTTAGCCAGAACCTGCCCTGTTGGCCTGGAAGCTCTCCGGGGTTTCTCTTTCAGCCTAAATGATGTCCAGGAGCCGAGCTGGCCACACCTTGCTGCTGTCTACCGCGTTTCAGTTCCGCAGCCAGTGGAGATTGGGGATGGGCAGATTGTGTTCATAGTTTTAGAGTTGAGATCCAGACTTGTCTCACCTGTGTTAGTAAATGGGTTTATCTGGGAAAAAAAGAAACCAACAAAACTGGTGGAATGTAGAGAAGTCAGTTCTAAAGATAAGGAGGATTGGTCCCTCCCAGCCATCGCTTGCCTCTTTATAGAAATGGAATCTTCTATTTTCCAAGAATTCACCCTGTGCTGCAATAGAGCTTTTGGCACTATCTATTTATTGTGAGGTGCTCTAGCAGCTGGTAACTGTTTTGGGACTATTTAAGGAGTCTTAATTGTCACTGAGAATCTGATGGCGTCTACCCTCTGGGGGTGTCACAAGGAGTTGAACGTGACGTGTGTACCCCGGGTAATTTCAGAAGCTGAGGAACTGGGGAGAAAAATAGCCGTGGGACAGGAACATCAGCATCTGATGGGAGTAGGGTTTTTATTTATGATTTCAGTTTCCATTGCAACTTAGTGTTTCTTTTAAAAAAGGTTGGAAGTTTCTTGATAAAATATTTCCAAATCAGACATGACTCTAGGTGCCTTAGATGAGGGGTTATAACCAAGTAATGCTTGTGCGGACCTGGAACCCAAGGGCCATCGAAATGAGGTTGGATGGCAGTCAGGCCCCCTGGGGCAGTTGTTTGCAAAAAAAGTTTTCTCGGTGCAACCACGGCAGAGCTGGAGATATATTTACCACCCTACCCCTTGTGGGAAAGTTTGCCTACCCCTTAAAGGAAATAATGAAGATAATAAAATTATGATATTGGCTTGATCTGACCCTAAGAATTTTACCTGCACGGTCTCATTTAATGCGTCACTCTCACCTGCCAGGGCAGGTTAGCCCTGCGTTCTCGGTAAGTGCGGTGATGAGATTGCTGCTCCAGGCTCCTGAGTTGAGTGGAGGCCTCAGATCGGAGGCTGTAGAAGTAGAAGGAGTTAAGGCTTTTAAGGCTGGTATGGGGTCGGGGGAGAGAGTGACTTTGAGGTGAGGGGAGATGGGAGATGGCAGGAAGTGCGGAGCCAGTGTGGCAGATGTCAAAGTGGGGCAGTCGCCGGTCCCCCACCCCACAGGAAGTCTGGGTCACCCAGGAGTCCCACCGCTCCAGCCTCTTCTCCAGCCTGTGCCTTTGCCCTTTCGCAGTATCCAGAAGGCTACCTTGAGGCCCTGGCCAAGAAGGAGAAGGAGAAAGAGAACAGAAAGAGGCCGACTGAAGAGGCAGAGGAGAAAGACGAAGAGGAGGAAGAAGAGGAAGATTTCACGTCCCCCAGGAAGAGCAAACGGAGGAGTAAGTCAGAAGGTAGGTCCCTCTCCATGGGCAGCCTGTCCATGTGCTGTTGGGCTCCCCCGCCCTCACCACTCCGCTCTGTCTCAGGTGCCTGCTCCCCGAGAGTTACACCCAAGAAAACCAAGGTGGAGCCTTACAGCCTCACAGCCCAGCAGAAGGCCCTCATCAAGCAGGACCAGAGCAACACTAAGTTGTGGACCGAGATCCTCAAGTCACTCAAGGATGGGCCGGTGAGCACCCGTATGGCCTGAGCGGCCTTTCTGCCCCCCCACCCCCTTTCCCCACCATTTTTTTTAATTATAACAAAATAGAGATAACATAAAGTGCATCATCTTAACCATTTTTCAGTGTACAGCTCAGTGGCATTAAAAGACATTCACACCATCATGCATTCACCCCATCATTCACCTCCAGAAATTTCTCATCTTCCCAAACTGAAACTCAGTCCCCGTTATACACTAGAACTGCCCATGACCTCCCTCAACCCCTGTCTGAATGACTCCTCCAGGGACCTCCTGAAAGTGGAATCACAGTAGTTTTTTGTTCTTTTGTGTCTGGCTGATTTCATTAAGCATAATGTCCTCAGGTGCATCCACATTGTAGCAGGTGTCAGAACGTCCTTTTTAAGGCTGAATCATATTCCATTGTCTGGAAAGACTACATTCTGTGTATCCGTCCTTTGTCAGTGGACAGTTGGGTGGTTTCCATTTTCTGGCCATCGTGAATCACGCTGCTATGTACACGGGTGTGCAACCATCTCTGTGCGTCTCGGCTTCCAGTTCTCTTGGGTATATATAGATGTTCCTCAATTTACCGTGGGGCTTTGTCCCAACAAATCTATCGTAAGTCACATGCATTTGATGCATCTAACCTACTGAATATCACAGCTGAGCTCAGCCCACTGAGCATGTGCGCAGGCACGTCCATGAACCTCCACTTGGGCAAGAGCCTCTCTCGGCCGCTGCTCAGCACCACAGGTCAGTATCAGACTGCGTATCACTAGCCCAGGACAGGATCAAAATTCAAAATTGAAATATGGTTTCTACTAAATGGGTATCACACACTATTGCAAAGTTGAAAAATTGTAAGTTGAACCATCATAAGTTGGCTGTCTGTACCTGGAAGTGCGATTGCGTGGTCATGTGGCAGCTCTAGTTTTACAATTTTTTGAGGAAACTCCATACTGTTTTCCACAGTGGCTGTGTCAGTCTGCATTTTTACCAACAATGCACGAGGGTTCCCTTTTCTCCAAATCCTCACCAACCCTTGTTGTTTGTTGATATATTGATGATAGACATTCTCACAGGTGTGAGAGATGATTAATTTGCATTTCTGGTGATTAGTGATGTTGAGTATTTTTTTCCACATGTCTATTGGCCTCTGTTAGTCCTCTTTGGAGAAATGTCTACTTAGGTTCTCTGCCCATTTTTAAACCGGGTTATTTGTCTTTTGGTGTTAAATTGTCCAAGTTCTTTATATATATGTTTTGGATATTAATCCCTTATCATATGTATCATTAGTGAATATCTTCTCACATTCAGTAGGTGGTCTTTTTTTTTTTCTAATATATTTCTTTATTGATTTCAGAGAGGAAGGGAGAAGGAAAGAGAGATAGAAACATCAATGATGAGAGAATCATTGATCGGCTGCCTCCTGCACACCCCCTACTGGGGATTGAGCCCGCAGCCCAGGCATGTGCCCTCGAACCTGGGACCCTTCAGTCCGCAGGCTGATGCTCTATCCACTGAGCCAAGCTGGCCAGGGCAGGTCTTTTTGTTTTGATGATGGTTTCCTTTGTTATGCAAAAACTTTTTTAAAATGTATTTTTGTTGACTTCAGAAAGGGAGGGAGAGGGAGAGAGAGATAGAAATATCAATGATGAGAGGGAATCACTTATCGGCAGCCTCCTGCACGCCCCCTACTGGGGATCGAGCCTGCAACCCAGGCATATGCCCTGACCAGGAATTGAACCTGTGACCTCTTGGTTCCTGGGTTGACGTTCAACCACTGAGCCACACCCGGCTGGGCCAAAAACTTATTTAGTTTAATGTAGTCTCATCTCAGGGTCCTCAGTTTAATTCTATTTGCAGTTTCTTTTGCTGTGGAAGGGAATGTATACACTGATCCTGGGGTTCAGATGTATTTTAGGGGCCTGGTTTAGCCGGTTACACGTCCTTCAGGTCACCTACTCTATAGAGTGTTCTGTGACCACCTGCACTTTGGGTTGGCCCCTCCCAGGCTCCATGCTGTATTTCCTAGCACTGTTGTGACATTTCTGTCTTTCCCCGTTTTATCTTTGCCCCCCTCCCCACCCCCCACAGGGCTCCAAGCTCTGTGAGGGCATAGGGTTCTTCAGTTTAATCCACTGCTGGACCCCGTGCCCGGGCAGCACATAGAAGGCACTCAGCCTTATTTACTGAGTGATCTAGATTCATGCCCTCAGCTAAAGCCTGCTCTGGACCCCGACCCTGGGTGTCCTGCTCAGCACTATGGAGGCTGTGACCCTGGGCAGGGCCTGCACCGGTCTGGGCCTCTGCTTTCTCATCTTAATGGGGATCAACCACTCCTGTCTCCTGGGGTAAGGATAGGAGGATTAAATTAGGGAACCAGGGCCAGGCTCTAGTAGGGAGCCCCGTTTTCTGAGGCTTCCATCGGCATGGTTCATTTTGGTATAAGGTTCTGCTGGTCTCATGCATCCTCTCTTCTGGTTTCAGAAATTCCTGAATAAAGTAGAAGAAACATTCCAGTGTATTTGCTGCCAGGAACTGGTATTCCGCCCGATCACCACCGTGTGCCAACACAACGTGTGCAAGGTGAGAGGCGTGGGCATGGGAGCTGGGCTGCCACGCACCCAGCACATAGTATGGGCTTGTTGGCTTGGCCCCTGCACACTCCTGGCTCCCTTTGCAGGGCCTGAGTGTCTGTTTTCCAAATAGCCTTGGTCATAGTTCCTCCCGGCCTTCATCAGGGATCCCATCGCCCCCCTTCCCCACTCCCCACCCTCCCGTGCTTCCCTGGTGCTGCCAAATCCTTGCCCCAGTCACCGACCCCACCTGGGCCGCCTGGCACTCCAGTGTCACCTCGCCTCATGATTCCCTCTTCTGTGTGTTGGCTGGTTCTCTCCTCCCTCTGGCACACTCTCCCCAAGTCTCTCATGTACCTGGGGGTCCAGGGTGGGAGAGGATAGTCGGCAGTCCTGGCCTGAGGTCTTGTCATAATAAATGTCTGTAAAGCAGGCGGTAGAGCCCAGCTGGTGTGCTCAGTGGTTGAGCATCGACCCCTGTATCAAGAGATTCCTGATCAGGGCACATGGCTGGGTTTCAGGCTCAATCCCAGTAGGGGTGTGCAGGAGGCAGCTGATTGATGTTGAGGCATTGGTGTTTCTATCTCTCTCTTCCTCTCTCTCTAAAATCAGTAAAAACATTTTTAAAAAGAGCAGGCTATAGAGGCATGAGGTACTTGTCTCCTAGAGGAGCCAGGAGGAAGGCTTCCTGGAGGAGGGGGCCTTAACTTGTTACCTGAAGAGGGCCTCCGGGAAGCGTTCCAGATTGGCAGGATGGCATGTGCAGAAGTTTGGACAGGCAGGTGTGCCTGAACAGCTGGGGCCTGGAGGGGATGTAGGGCTGGGAGGTGGGCCATAGGCTCTGCCTGGTGGTCAGTGTCAGGAGAGAAACAATGTGATTGAAAGAGAGATGGGGAGCTGAGATCAGATTAACCAGGGTCTCCCCTCCCCCCTGCACTGTGGACATTGGGGCCAGAACATTCTCTTTGAGGGGGGGGCATTTTGGGCACCGGGGGGCAGGGGAGGAGGTTGAACAGCTTCCCTGATCCCCATCCACTCACTTCTCCATTAATGACAACCACAAATATCCCCAGACATGGCCCAGTGTCCCCTGGGGGCAGAATTGTCCAGGTGGGAAGCACTGGCCTGTGTAACTGGTTTCTTTGCAGTGTTTTCTGGCCCAAGTCTGTTAATAGGAACTTATGGGCAGTGTAGGCAGATGGTGTGAGAAGTGACTGTCCCCACCCCCTGGTCACCCTTGGTCCCTGAGCTTCTGGCTCTTTTGTTCTCGGATCTGGCCCCCTTCCTTGCCTTGAGGCTGTCTCAGCCCCTCAGCTGTCACCCTCGGGGAGGGGCTCGGAGAACATGAAGCAGTGTGGTTGTTTGGCCGTCAGAGCCAGGCCTCCACTTTTCTGCTTTTGGGCTCTGCCACCAGGTTACATGGGCTGATGGTGTTCCTTCAACTCTGTGTCTTGGAGAAGTGGCTCGGCATTGGTGGTGAGATACGGGCTTTGGAGCCAGCAGCCAGGGTTTGACCCTACACCCAGCTCTGCCCCTCCCATCCTTGGAAAGCCACCCAACTCTTCGAGCCTTAGTTGCCCCTCAGTGAAAAGGGGCGTAGCAGTGCCTTCCTGGCCTGCTTCTGGCTGTAGGTGACACATGCTAAAGTGCTTTAGGCAAGCAGGCAGAGTGGGCCATTGATGCAGGGGGAGCTTACAAAACGTCAGTCCTGGATAGCACTGCAGAAATGGGCTGAATTGATGGGGTTTCAGGGAACAAGCCTCTCAGGGGTCAGTCATATGTGTCATTAAAGTGCCAAGGCTGCCCTGGCCATTGTGGCTCGGTTGAGTGCTGTCCCATGCACCAACCAAAAGATCACCAGTTCGATTCCTGGTCAGGGCACATGCCTGGATTGTGGGCTCCATCCTTAGTGGGATCGTGCAGGAGGCAGCAGATGGATGTTTCTCTCTCACATTAATGTTTCTCTCCCTCTCCTTTCCTTTCTTTCCAAAAACAAAGTGCCAAGACTGTGAAGGAAGAGGGTACTGACATTTATGTGTCTGCCCCGGCTGTCCATGCACCTGTAGTTACATCTCCCAGAACATCAGCATGTGAGGGTTATGGGGAAATGATCCTCACCTTGATGTCCCAGCACCTATTTTTTATCTCATTTTATTAAATTATTTTATTATAGTAAAATACACATAACATAAAATTTACCATCCTAACCATTTTTTTAAAATCCTCATCTGAGGATATTTTCCCATTGATTTTAGAGAGAGTGAAAGGAGAGGAAAAAGAGAGAAATATCGATGTGAAGAAACACATCGATTGGTTGCCTCCTGCATGCGCCCCAAACCAGGGCCCGGGCTGGGGAGGAGCCTGCAACCAAGGTACATGCCCTTGACCGGAATCGAACCCGGGACCCTTCAGTCCACAGGCCAACGCTCTATCCACTGAGATAAAACCAGCTAGGGCATCCTAACCATTTTAAGTGTATAGTCCAGTAGTATTAAGTACATTCATATTGTTGTGGAACCATCTCCACCATCCATCTCTAGAACTTTTCCATCTTTACAAACTGAAACTCTGTCCCTATTAAACACTAACTCGCCATCCTCCTACACCAGCACCTGGGTTCCCACCATCTACTTTCTTTTTGTTTTTGTAATCTTTATTGTTGAAAGTATTACTTAGGCCCCTCTTTTTCCCCCACTGACCCCCTCCAGCCCACCCCAGGTCTTTACCATCTTCTTATTGTCTGTGGCCATGAGCCATGCATATATGCATACAAGGTCTTTGGTTGATTACCTCCCACTCACCCACCCTCCCCCGCCTTCCCTCCGAGTTTCTGCACTCTGTTCCATGCTTCCATGTCTCTGGATCCACTCCATTCATTTTATTAGATTCCACATATGAGTGCGATCATATGATATTTGTCTTTCTCTGACTGGCTTATTTCACTTAGCATGATACCCTCCAGGTCCCTCCATGCTGTCTCAAGGGCAAGAGATTCTTTTTTACTGCTGCATAGTATTCCACGGTGTAAATGTATTACAGCTTTTTTATCCACTCATCTACTGACCACCATATACTTTCTTTCTCTGTGGATCTGACTCTTCTAGGGACCTCCTATGACTGAACCTCCTGAATATTTGTCCTTTTGTGTCTGGCTTCTCTCACTGAGCATAATGTCCTCAAGATTTATCTGCACTGTAGTGTGTGTCGGAATTTCCTTTTTAAGGCCAAATACTAGTCCATTGTCTGGATGGACCACGCTCTCTGTATCATTCATCTGTTGATGGACACTTGAGTTGTTTCCACCTGTTGGGTGCTATGAATCATGCAGTGATCCAGAACCTGATTTTTGAACGTAGACCCAAATCTTAGTTGTTTTGAGCAGAAAGAGCTACCTTTTGTTCCTGGAATCAAGGCCATAAATTTTTTTTTTAAAATATATTTTATTGATTTTTCACAGAGAGGAAGGGAGAGGGATAGAGTTAGAAACATCGATGAGAGAGAAACATCGATCAGCTGCCTCTTGCATACCCCCGACTGGGGATGTGCCCGCAACCAAGGTACATGCCCTTGGCCGGAATCGAACCCGGGACCTTTCAGCCCACAGGGCGACGCTCTATCCACTGAGCCAAACCGGTCAGGGCCATAAAATTTTTATTGAAAAGGAATTTAGGAATTGAAAGAATGTCAAACAAAAGCCTCAGCATGCATTTGTGGGGGAATGTGCCATGGCATCAGCAGGCCTTCCATCGTGTTCACATTTACCCAGTTGCCTGATGTCATCTGTCAGGTGTGCACACACCCATGCAGGTGTCTGCATACATGTGTGCATTGTTGTCTCTGCCCAGGTGGTAACAACTCAAGTGTCCATCAACAGATGAATGATAAGAGAGTGTGGTCCATCCAGACAATGGACTAGTATTTGGCCTTAAAATACTTCCCTGTTTCTCTGATTCTCTGTTTCTCTGATTGGGAAGTTGGCTCTTCAGGGCCTGTCCGAGTCATAACTCTGTCTCCACCTGGCTTAGTTTGAACCCAGAAGTCTGGCTCAGCGCCAGAATTCCTTCCTTTCTTCCTTTATTCTCATTGACGCATATTTATCACCTACTATGCTTGGTGCTGGGGACGTCAGTGAGATACAGCTCCATATCACAGGGAGCATCTGGCCTGTTAGAGACAAACGTTAGTAAATAACACGATGCCAGAAGGCAGAAAAGGTGCTGTTTTAAGGCAAATTGGGTAGGTGACAGGACTGGCTGTGGTGGGGCTGCTTACGATGATGCTTAAGGGCTGTCAGGGAAGGGTCCTCTGAGGAGGTGACTTGAGCCAAAGCAGGAGTGACGGGAGAGCCAGAGGACAGACCTGCTAGGTGGTGTAATCTGTCAGTGCCAAGGCCTGGGGGCCAGGATGAACTAGTCTTTGAGGGGTCCTTGGGAGGTCAGGCTGGCAATGGGCAGTGAGTGGTAGAAAGTGAGACTGAGGACCAGGAGGGACCCTCTGGACCCCATGAGAAGTCAGTAAGTGCTCTCAACTCTGTCAGTGGGGACAGCCGGTGGCCAGGAGTGGCTCCGCTGACATGGACGGAACGTCTCACCTTCCTGCTCTGTCTTGTAGAATTGCCTGGATAGATCCTTCAGAGCCCAGGTGTTCAGCTGCCCCGCCTGCCGCCGCGAACTGGGCCGAAACTACTCCATGAAGGTGAACCAGCCGCTGCAGGCAATCCTCATCCAACTCTTCCCTGGTTATGGCAATGGACGGTGATCCACAAGCACTTCTCGCCGGGCGTTTTTAAAAAACGCATCAGAGGCGTCCTCGGCCCCTCTCGTTTTTAGTGGGCTTAACTTAAGTATGTAGTTTTTCCTCTACTTCCTAAAAACCCTTGTCTTCCTGGTTTTGTTTTTTTAATCTATAAATTTTTAGGAATTTGTATTATGGCTCAAAGAAAGAAAGAAAGTTAGACTGCTCAGTGTTTTATCTTGGTTTTTTTTTTAAAAAGTATAAAGCCTGCGGTGTATGAGCAAAAACACAAATGTTTTTTCTGAAGATGAAATTAGAAATTACTTGGCCTGAAGGCCGCTATGGTGCCAACATCAAGTTCTCAGAGGCTCCTGCAGGCAGGCATTGACTGCCTAGAACCATCTTTTCCCGGTGTGTGGGCTTGGCCCCAAAGCTGAAAGCGGGCACACCTCCTGACAGCGTTTCATCGCCAGAACTCAGCAGGGTGGTACCTGGTGGTGGCCCTGGGTGTGGCGTGGCCCAGGAGTCATCCATCAGGACCTGTTGAAAGGGAAAAAGGAAAAGATCCCATTCAGCCCAGTTTAAACTCTGGCCTCACAGCCATCCGCCACCAGCCAGCTTCCGTGGTTAAGACCCACAAGCAGAGACCTGTGTCCCTTGAGCAGAGTTGAGGCCACACAGAAGCTACCTCCGCTGGACTCTCCTGTATGTGGAGCTGGGTGTGCAGCCAAACGCTGTCCATTCTGGAACGCCGCAGAAGTAGATGCACTAAGCCATGTTCAAGTGCCTTTGGTTCTTTCTTTCTAAACACGGGGCTCTTTTTTTAGCACTGAATTACTGAAAATGCCAACCAGATTCTCAGATTGGCCAACCAGTTCTTTCCAAATATGGGTGAGTGTTTGGGGATAGGTTGAGTTTTGTTCTTCCTTTACATTGAATTTTCAACTCACCAATTGAGATTTACAAGAGGGAATTTGTTTTTAAAATAAATACTTTTTTTAAATGAAATTTTTTTGTAGTTACTGTATATGTACCAAGAAATCTATAACTTAGGGATTTATTTTTTATTTTTTTATTTTTTTGGAATTATTTGTTAATTTTTCTACAAACTTTACCAAAGTTTGCAGCTCATACCTCAATAGAACAGGGATATTTTAAATCACATAACTGCAGACAAACTGGAACAATATTGTTTGAAAGGTTTTTTTTCTCTCTTTATTAGATTATTAATGTATTAGGAAGAAATGATAAAATCCTGTGTAGGCATTTTCTATAAAGTTCAATATTCTTTGTCCAGATTTTAGATTCTCAGAATAAATGTCTTTTACAGATGCATTTGGTTGTCTTCTCTTGTTTGCAAATCGCTTTGTAGCCCACCAGGTAATTCTGTTTCTATTATTTTATTTTCACAAAAACCCCAGGAGACAGACTAGGCAGGGTAGCATCATCCTCACTTGGCAGATGAGAAAACGGAGACCCAGAAGATCAAAGTGATGGGCAGTGGTTCTAACTCCTGCTCAGGAGGGGTTTGGCTTTGACCTTTATGGGGTCAGCAAACTACAGCTTGGAATGGGGGTGGTTACTTATTCTCACTAATGTGCTTCTGTCTCCATTTACGTTTGAGGAACCCTAGGCTGCAGTGGTCTCTGGGAGTCTGCAGGCCTGGGGAAATTTGGGTATACCGGGTGTGTGGGGACTGATGACCTGAAATGCTAATTCCAGCGGAAGTCAGGACACGGATGAGGGAAGGTACTAGTGCTGAATTCTGAAGAGGCTTTTATTTACATTGACCTATTACCCGGTGCTTTTTATTGACAGCCAGGTAATGACATGGGCAGATTTAATAAAGTTCTGCCTCTGGTCCTTAAAAATGTGTTATGAGTGTGAACATACTAAGTGCAAGAAGGCAGTCACAGTGAGCACATATGATTTCATATGAAATCTCCAATACAGGAATCCATAGAGACAGATGAGTGTGTCCCTGGGTGGGCCCTATATGGGACAGAACACATTGAGGTGGGTTCATTGTCAAGATTGTGGAATTTCGGGGTGTTTCTTTCATTTTCAAAGTTAAATATAACAAAAAGTATATTTGTGGAACCACTATGCAGAAATAATAGCAATATTGGGCATATTTCTTTCCTGGTAGATCTATAAAATTTAAAAAAATGGCTTTATTGAAATACATTTCATGCTGCCATAATGTTCACCTATTTAAAGTGTACAGTTCATTGGTTTTTTAGCATGTTCATGGACTTGTGTGACCATCACCATTTTCTAGTTCCAGAAGGTTCCCATCACCCCAAAAGCAACCTCACACAATCCTCCAGCCCCACAACCACAAATCCACTCTCTGGATTTGTCTGTTCTGAACACTTCATATGAATGGAATCATGAAATACTTGGCCTTTTGTGGTCTCATGTTTTCAAGGTTCACCCATATATTTGTGGCTAATATTCCACTGTGCAGGTGGGCCACATATTTCAATCCATCTGGTTGACTTTTTAATGTAAAATATCCTTTTCTTCATCCCAGATTATAAAATTCATACACAACCCCTTTAGAACACTTGGAAACTGACGACATGAAGAAAAAGTCAAAATACATAATTCTGCCACCCAGCGGGTTACAATTTTCAGGCTTTGTACATGTATGTGTGTCATTGTAATATTCAACCTCGGAACAACCCTCTGATACAGTTTTGACTTGTCTGTTTTGCAGGTGAGGCATACGTATATTTATATATTTGTTTTATATGTAAATTTAAAGAACAAAATTAGAACAGTGCCATATATTCTTCCTTGTGCCCAGTTTTTTTTTTGTAATACATTTAAAAATAAATATATTTTATTGATTTTTTACAGAGAGGAAGGGAGAGGGATAGAGAGTTAGAAACATCGATGAGAGAGAAACATCGATCAGCTGCCTCCTGCACACTCCCTACTGGGGATGTGCCCGCAACCAAGGTACATGCTCTTGACCGGAATCGAACCTGGGACCCTTGAGCCTGCAGGCCGACGCTCTATCCACTGAGCCAAACCAGTTAGGGCTGTAATACATTTTTATTGCTTTAAGAGAGGGAAGGGAAAGGGAGAAAGAGAAACATCAATGATGAGAGAATCATTGATCAGCTGCCTCCTGCACGCCCCCTACTGGGAATTGAGTCTGCAACCCGGGCATGTGCCCTTGACTGGAATTGAACCCTACAGTCAGCAGACGGCGCTCTATCCACTGAGCCAAACCAGCTAGGGTCCCAGTTTTCTATTGATTTCAGTTCATTTATCAAGTAGCCACTTTGTCTAACACCTTAGTAAACAACCATGTGTGCCATGGTCTGGTGTTTGCATATTTGCATATTTGTATTTGTGCTCATAAATGTGAAACATGCTACGTGTCTAGTGACATATGCTTGAAGGTTTGGAATGCTAGAATTCCTCCCCCAAATCTTTGTTTTTTAAACATAGGAGGACGTATCTTTCCATCCACCTCTATTTTTTATGCGTCAGACACCTGGAAGCAGGAGTGGAGTCTGTAAAGTTGGAGACATTTCTCAGCTCCACACCTTATCCATTGGGGAAGGTGAAGACCAGGTCTGTAAAAAAAGATCAGGCTTCAAGCTCTTTGATGGCCAGTACCAGTGCACCTCCTCCTGGCCTTCTTTAGGGGAGAGATCCCCAATCGAGATTTGCACCTGTCTGCAAAGATGTGAAAAAACAAACAACAGGGCAATTAGGTGTTTTCCCCAAACTAATTTGTCCATTTGAAAATTCTGGGAGTGTGTCCTTCCTACTATGCATATGACACTTAAAAAAAAAAATGAGCCCTGTCTGGTGTGTCTCAGGCATCGTCCTGTGCACCAAAAGGTTGCTGGTTGGATTCCTGGTCAGGGCACATTCCTAGGTTGTGGGCTTGATCCCAATAGGGGGCATGCAAAAGAGAGCCAGCCAATCGATGTTTCACATCGATGTTTCTCTCTCCCTCCCCCTCTCTCTAAAAATCAATAAAAAATATTTTTAAAATGATGGTGATTATACTTTTCACTAACATTTTATCATGAAAACTTTTCAGACAAAAGTTGAAAGAATTGTAGTGAATCTTTAAATATACCTACTGTCTAGATTCTACAGTTGTTAATGTTAAATTTTTAACATAATGGCATTAATAAAATGTCTCCCTAAGCCAAAGAAGAAAGTTGACAACCTATTTAGGTACCCCAATTAAATTAAAATTTCAGAGTCTGAAATCCAAACACCTGTAAATTCACTGTCTTATATGATAAACTTGGAAGTAGGAAAAAGGCTAGTGTGTGTGTGTGTGTGTGTGTGTGTGTGTAAAATTCCTTCATTATTGCACTTGTGACACCATTATCAAATTTCATTTTTTAAAAAAATGTATTTTATTGATTTTTTACAGAGAGGAAGGGAGAGAGATAGAGAGTTAGAAACATCGGTCAGCTGCCTCCTGCACACCCCCCACTGGGGATGTGCCCGCAACCAAGGTACATGCCCTTGACTGGAATCGAACCTGGGACCCTTCAGTCCGCAGGCCGATGCTCTATCTACTGAGCCAAACCGGTTAGGGCCAAATTTCATTTTTGTTTTTCCCACTGGTTAGGGAGTTCCTAGGGGGCAGTTATTATTTCCTATTTTTTAAGTTAAATTTTAACTACATGAGGAATATATATGAATATGATCCCAGGAAGATTAAAAACACCCCAGACAGCAGTGTGGTGGTTGCCAGAGGGAGGGAGGTGGAGGGAAGAAGGGGTCCTAATATGAGGTGACAGGAGAAGATTTGACTTTGGGTGGTGGGCACATGGTCCTATATACAGATTTTGTAAATTAGTAATCCACACATGTAACCTATATGTTCATGTTGACTAATGTCACCCCAATAAAATTTAAAATACTTAAAAAACAACAAAAACACCCCAGAACAGATTCAAGTCTTCACCAACTATCTTCCCCTACCCCCTCACCTTTTTAATCCCACATGGACCTCTCCTCTTCCCAAAGATTGAGTTCTTTCAGTTTGGGATGGCCTTTTTCTGGTGTTGACATAGGTATGTGCTGGTAGAAGCCTGACATTGGTTTCTCTGCGTTTGGTTTCAAATGTTGAATATAGAATCCTGGATCCCTCTGCAGCTGCTCTGCAACATCTGCAGGGGATCATTCCAAGACAGTACATGTAGATCTATCTCTCTTTTCATTGCTGTACAGTTAATATTCCACAGTACCCTCTGCCACAAGTTACTTATCCCACAGGGATGGATATTTAGAGCAAAACACGGTAAACAATTGTATAATTACTTTCTCTGGGTACATGGTTTCCAGGAATATAGTGTAAGTGCTTACAAGAAAACGTCCGATTGTCCGGTTTATACTGCTCCCTGTGAAATAGGGGCGTGCTCACACCCCTTTCTGGTATGCAATTAATAATGATGGCGCCGTAACCGGTTTGGCTCAGTGGATAGAGTGCCAGCCTGCGGACTGAAGGGTCCCAGGTTCGATTCCGGTCAAGGGCATGTACCTTGGCTGCGGGCACATCCCCAGTGCGGGTGTGCAGGAGGCAGCGGATCGATGTTTCTCGCTCATCGATGTTTCTAACTCTCTATCCCTCTCCCTTCCTCTCTGTAAAAAAATCAATAAAGTATATTTTAAAAAAATAATAATGATGGCAATAGCAAACCTTAATTGTTCACCATGCAAAGCCACATTTTCAAATCTTTTACGTGCCTCCTCCCACTTAATTCTGGCAACATTCGGAGGAGAGAGCCAGACAGTGGTGTGTGTGTGTGTGTGACCATCATGTCCACTTCACTGGGGGAAAATAGGCACAGCAAAGAGGTGAGGCCCAGCAAAGAGGCCACCCTCGGTGAGGCTTGAACCCCGGTTGAGCTTTGCACCTAGGTCAGGTAACACCAAACTCCTCCCTTCCCCTAAGTTTTAGGGGGGTGGGAGGGGAACCACTTTATCCGGAAGGCCTTGCCTCCTTTGCAAAGGTTGATTGTGATGGAAATGAACTTGGTTATGTTTTGGGCGACGGAGAGGGACGTTTGCTGCTTCACTTCTTTTTCCACAGTTATCAGTTCCCCAACTTTGGAAAATGGAATGCGTTGGGGCTATACTTCCTAACTCGGGACTTTTTGAATTGGGGAACTCTGCGCCCAAATTCCGGCGACGGCTACGGGTCTCGAACCGCATCGCCACACCTCCCTGACCCGGTGCTGATGTTGTGCAGGGTCTCACGTACTCAGCTGCTGCCTGATAAGTAAGGCGGGGCCAGAGCCGTGATTGGCACCCGCTTCAGCCAGCCCGCGCCTCGGGCTGACCCC